TATTCTGTGAAAAGCCCCTCACAATTAAAAAGTATAGGGATCTTTAATTACACCTGCCAGTTTAAAAATATGAAAAACAAAAACTCAAATGGACTTTCAGGATATTAAATATTGGCATAAGTTCTCAGAAAATAATATTTTATTAGTGAACAAAATCAAGGTGTAATAAAGATATTCAAAGGTGTTTATTTATTCATTTTTCCTTTTTTAATCAGGAATCAAACTCAAGACTTCATACTTGCCAAGCAGGTGCTCTGCTGTTGAGTTATATCACTTGTCTCAAACATGTTTGTTTGTTTGTTTGTTTAATCAGTTACTGAATTTCCTACCATAAGTTAAGAAATCAAATGCAAGTTAACAGAAGACTTCAAATATAAAATCACATTGCATTTTTGGGCCTCTAATAGAGTATCTTATCCATAATAAACAACATTCTAACATTGAAATTAACTACTCAAACACATAAGGCTCAAAAATACTCAGTGTCAGTTATTGCTTTACAACAGAATCAGTCCTAATCTAACACTGTACACTAAGAACATACTAGCATGATTTCTCTAAAAGGACATGATATCAAATACTATAATTATTATTTAGTTTACTAACTGTACACCTCACTGAATACACAAATAAGCCTCGGAATTTTAAGGAGATATATATTTCAGGTGACTTAAGAAACTGAATTTTCAGGCAACATCACATACCACAACATTCCTGAAACATCAAAGTCTTATACTCATTTGGACCCTAATCCATTCACAGATTTAGAATTCAAACCACATAACCATCACTAACATACTGAGTGTAAATTTTTAATACCAACAAAAGCCGATAGGTGAAACCACGCCCTTATAACTTGCTTATTTGAAGGATAAGACATTAAGGATTTTCCCAGCAATGCAGAGATATTTGGAAATGTGTTCTGTTTTCAACTTCAGAAGCACATATATGATACATTGCTCAGTTCCACTGGCTTATAAAACACAGTATAGAATTACCACAGGTTACATATATCTTTCATACTAATGGCCATCCAGGCAATGGAACAGATGCATCCACATCATACACTAAAATTTCTATATTTGCTTCCCACAACACAAACACACACAAATACACACAACTCCCAACCTGATAGACATCAGATACTCCAATTCTGTGTTTCCCAAAACCAAAGAATGAATTCTAAGAAACAATGGTGGTTAACAGTAGGAATTATTAACTGAAAAGCTCCTAAGAGGAAAGAACCCAAAAGTGAGTTGCCATGGAATCCACTTTACAAAAAAGTTTTATAGACCAAAATCATAAAGTAGGTACAAAAGCATGAGGTGGGTACACCATGTCTGGAAACTATGATGAACCAGTAGGATTACAAGTCTAATCACTTAATGTTGACCCAAAGGGGGAGCAAGTTATGTAGAAAGTGTACATGGAAAGAAAAAGGACCATTTTTGGAAGAGATGGATCAGGAGGTTCTGGTCATTCACCTAGTTGACTGATGTCTATTTAGACTTCCATTGGACTAGGTGATACCAATTATAGTATATTGCTTATCCTATAGAGGAGAACATAAGCCTGGTCATTTTGTCTGTATCTTCAGGCCTGGTCTATAATGGATGCACCTCCAGCATCAGTTGTAACGTGTCTTCATCATCCTCCACACTGACTCCCTTGAGGACCTAGCCCTGTCTGATTGCCTATAATAGTTTTACTTAACTTAGCTATCTATGGCATTACTACTATGTAATGTTAAAATGATACATGAGGTTAAAGATTATTTCAGAGAAAATAACAATAAAGTTTAGTTTTGATAAAAGGTGGACAAAAAAAGAAACTATATCCTCAATTGCATTAAGACAGAATGGTAACTGGTCTAAGTCTGATAGATTTTGGAAGATGAAATAAGGAAGTTAACCAAGTCTTCTAAAGAGTAAGTTTGCAGGTTCAATGTCATGGTTTATGTTGGTGGCCCCCAGGCCTCAAGTGTTTGCATTGTGCATTTGTGATTGGTTCATTGTCTAGTGCTTGGATCGCTGGTGTCAGTGCTCCACCTGCCTAGAGGTAGAACCAGCATACAATGTAATGGCTGGAAGAAGGCATGGCTCTCTCACTTGATGCTTGCTGTTCGCAGCAGCCATGAAATGCGGCCCTCCCCCCATGCCACCCTGCCTTGGGGCCAAATGAGTATGAACTGAAACCTCCAAAAACTGTAAGAAATAAACCTTTCCTTTCCCAACTTTGGGCATCAGGTATTTTATCTCAGTGATGAGTAAAAAGTAACTAAGACATTCACTAACTCTAGTCTCTGAAAAATAATTTTCAAGATGGATCAGTAAGAGGAATAGAAGGGTTTATTACGCAGAAACTACGGGACATACTCAGAGTACAGTGTGGTCAGCCAGAGAAATTGATATAGAGGAAATAAATGTAACTCCCAACCTGGAACCAATTCATTTGGCTGAAAGTAGAGTTAGGAGCAGGGTGTGAAGCTGTAGGTGTTGACAGCAACTGCAGCAGCCAACAAGAGTGTCAAGGTAGAATTTTCAGGAAGAATGGATATCTTTCCTCCTTTTTTGTTTCCTTTGAGATGCAGAGAGAGGTTTTATTTCATTTTTAACTCTGTAAAAGCCCTTTTTCCTGCATTCAGAGGCTGCAGGTTTTTAGTAATTCCCATCTCTGACATCCAATATGTCTCTATATCCTTGAACAACGGTGCAATAGACAAAGGATGGGTGCCCCTCTGAGAAAGACTACTCAGATGCACACATAGCCATGTTGCTCACACAGAGACTTAGGTGTGACTTAGCTAAAGAGAGTGCAAGGCCTCCACTATGCCATACGTCAATTGTCACAAAATCATAGCTGAGGGCCCATCAGCCACCGTGCCCAGTACTTTCCAGTTTTGGTACACACAGAGAAACCTACTGCTTACATATTCATTCCACTCACTCACAGAATCATTCAGCAGGCACTAAGAAGTTAAACATTTTGGCCACCCTTCTCTTGGGGGTAGCCTTAACTAACAAAAGTTGATCAAGCTCTTCTGCTTGAACTGAGTTGGACTAACAAACAGGTTAACTGGGGTGTCCCCAGAGATATTGCCAGAATCAGGCACACAGGCAGGTAGGCAGACAAACGGACAGACTGCATCCTCCTCCCTTAGGGGTCTGATGTGAGCCACTGAAGCCAGAAGCCAGGAATCATCTTCAGACATCTGAGAAGACTCTTGAAATCTCAAGGGCACACTTTACCAATGAGACTGGAGAGGTCACTACTCTATCTGAGAGGGCCATGACCAAAGAGGTAAGCATGGTATTTCTGGATGATGCACCAGATGCAATGGCAAACAGAAACACCAAAACAACACCCAGGATTTGGAGGCAGATTTATTTTATGTCAACAGGCACTGAATGGGATCATTCTAAAAATATCAGGCACTGATCTCTGGTGATCTAGGACTTATATGAAATAAGCAAGCAGGAAGTACAGAGGCAGAATGGCTTGTCAATTGGGAACTGGATGATATAATGTGCATCACAGTAACCAGCATTGCATTACAATAACCAGCCATTTCTAAGAGACAGGAGCAACCAGAACTGAAACAGTAACTATTACATGGGGAACTGACAAACTGAAGTATATTGGTTTGAAGGGGGGAAGTTCTGATACACATTAATTTTACTTTTTTCATTTAGGAGAAACACACCAGTTAAGTGTCATTTTAGTTAGTCAAGCCCTGGATGTGTTGCATGACATCTTCAAATCCTAGAGAAAACATAAAAATATAAGCCAAATGATCACACAAGTGAAACATGCTTTAAATAGTCAATACTGCCTTTGGGGTATATCAGTTCATTTATATTTTTGACACTTCCACTTTATAACCCTGTCTCAGTGTGCACTCTCTAACCATTCAGGCAGTATCCTGGGACACAAACTGGTTCCACAAGACCAATGAGTAGCACGGTGGGCTTTCTATTTAACTTTAGGACAATTAAATCACTATCTTTCAACCCAGTCTTCAACTTACAAAGTTATGGTGTGTATACACTGCTGGGGTTGGAGGGGCTTCATCGTAAGTAGTACAGTTAGGCCAATGAGAATAGAAATGATTTTTCTGTTCCCAATATTCAGGGAATATTCTGTTCCCAATATTCATTTTACTAAGTTGTCCTATACTTGGAGTTAACCACATATAATCATCATAAATACTGATTTTTTGTTCTTTACAGAGTGCTATGATTTTTAATAGCTGGGCACTAAAACCATAGGCTAGAGCACAGACTTCTTTCTTTGGCAGAAAGAAGTCTTAGCACATTTTTAGGTACATACACAGTGACAACGTTGCCTAAAGTTAGCTTGGCTGCCTAAGGCTCCATGAAACCTATGATAGCCATAACTCTGAGAGATGTGGATCATCCTTTTGCTACAGTGTCTAATTCATAATTCACAAATCCTGTTGGCCAGGTACACAATCCTGCATAAGCACTCCCAAAGCAATGCCCTGCCTTTTATCAACATAAAGGCTCACTGCTGGGGCATTTAGAAGAGACTGGTTAAGCTTCTATAATGTAGTTTGGGAACCTGGTTTTTAAATTAAACTATGGGTATCTTCTTTTGCATTTTTTAAAGTAATTCAATAGAGGGGTTGTGTGATCTCACCATAACCTGCTACCTAAAAGTAACAGAAGTCTGTAACTCTTGGGACTCTCCATAGCTATTTTAAAGTCTTGAGCTGAGGGACATAATGGTTTAATTTTCTCTTTCCTTAACCTTTGAGTTTCCTAGACATTATGAGGCCCAAATATTTTACCTCAATACTGCAAACTTTTGTCTTAGATATAGAGAACTTTTGACCTCTCCCTACTAGAATATTTAGCAGATCAAGAGTACCTTGGCTAGAGAGCTCTTTTGAGGAGGCACACAAGAATATATAATCTACATATTGTAAAACCATGACTTGTGAAAATTCAAAACATGCCAAGTCATGGAAAAATACCTACCCAAAAAGATAAGGACTATCTTGTGGGAATGGGCTGAAAGTGGAGATCAATCACACATGCAAGGCTAGAGCAAGGCAAGTCCTGAGAAAAAAAGAGGACACACAGTGAGTCACGTGAACAAGGTGCTCCAGCCCAGAGAACACCAGGCACCCAAGGCAAGTCAAGTAAAGAGGTTGCTAAGCAGAGGGGTATCAGATGACATCAACCTGCCAAATGTATAAATAAATGTGCTGAGGTCATTTGAGTAGTTCTTTTTATCTCATCCAGAGAGAAGGTGCCACCTGACCTCAGCTTTCTGTTTCCTGAGTGTTGTCTTTATTTCTTCATCCTCTACCATCCTTCAAGAGTTGTGCTGGATGCAGTACTGTCTCTGAACCCTGGAGTAAACCAGTGTCCAAGTCAGTTGAGAGGCTGGTCATGTAGATTCTCAAAGGTAAAACCAAACTGGGAATCTGTATATAAAGGAACACAAAAGAAGGCATCCTTTATATCTAACACTAAAAATCAACCAGCATCTTCTGGTATCTGAAAAAAGAAAGTGTATGGGTTAGGAACCATCAGGTGAATGGGCACTACTGTCTCATTTATCAATCTTCTGACCTCTACCAACCTCCACCCTCCGCTGGGTTTCTGAACTTCCAAGACTTGAGTGTTGTAAAGATTATTATGTGTAAATAGACTTTATACTATTAAATTACAGATTATATGCAATAATTGTCACTTAACTTCAGGTCTTAGAGGATATTGTTTCTGGTGAGGAAAATAGTACAATCTTTGAAGTATATTTGTACTGGAGTAACTTTTATAGTTCTTCATATTTTGCCTTTAGTTGCCCATACTTTAGGATGTAGTTCTGTCTTTACAAAGGGGAGGCAGATACCTGACCTCCGTATATTTATTATAATAATTAAACAAGATAACTCTTCCCCAAAAAGAGAACAGGATTTTCAGGCATTATTAAAAAGGAATGAGTGGAGAGAAACTCATGTTGGTTACAGCTTAAGTACTGCGACAAAAGAACAAGTTAGTTCCTCTCTGGTGACTTCTTTCTCTGAAGTATGAAGGCTGGACAGAATGCCACAGTTAAAAAGAAGGACCAAGAAATGTGCCAGTGTCTAGCAAAAGGCTGGTTTCTTTTCCTCTACAGCCGTGATTACCTGGGGCTCCTCAATGACAATGAGAAACAGGCCAGAGGGAAAAGGCAAAGAATGGCCCAGGTCCCTTCGGTCTTACTAGACTAGCTTTTTTAGGATGAGTCTGATCCCTGGGATCTCCATCCCGGGGGTGCAATTCAACCTCCTGAGATGGAGATTCTTTGTAATCAGCTCAGGGGGTCTCCTGTCATTCTTAGTAAGGTCAATTCTAAGGTAGCCTGGCTCTCAGCAACAATAACAGGTGGTTTCAGTCGTCAAGCGCTTTTTGGAGCCCTGAGAATCAGACTTAGATCTATTCCTCTTAAGGCCACAACCAAATCAGACATTTTCTCTTTATCTCTGTTTTTTCCTCCTGTTCCAGATTATAAATACTGAGGAGACAGTTTTCTCTAAAGTATCAAGTGAGTTATCCGGAACAAAAATCATCTTTTGTAGCTTTTTCCTAGTATATGAGGCAGACTGGGTAATAAACTTGTCTTTAAGAATCATCTGTCCTGGGGCTGGGGATTTAGCTCAGCGGCATAAGCGCCTGCCTTCCAAGCAGGCAGTCGTGAGTTCAATCCCTGGTACCGATGAAAAAGAAAAAGACAAAAAAAAAAAAAAAAAAAGAATCATCTGTCCTCCTACTGAATCAGGAGCCAGGATATATGTTTAACAATGCCTCTTATAAAGGATCTAAGAAGGCAGGGGGTTCTCATCTTCCTCTAGATGAATAGTTGACAATTTAAAATAATGCACTTTGTTCTCATTTTTCTTAGCTCTTTAAGACTATTGATCTAAAGATGTCTCCTATTCCAATCTCCACTCTGGTTGATAGGCAAGTAAGAATTTTGTATAGGGATTGCTTGAGTTCTAGTAGGAACTGGATGCTTATCTACTGGCCTTCTAATATTATCAGTATAATATTCGTCTCCAAAAATAATAGCAGTTTGTAATGCTCTTGTTTCTCATTCGAAATCACTGTTTGATTTAAGAGTACCATTACATCTTTTCAGTTAAGTTCCTAGGTCGAACCAAGTCTCCTGAAGACTTCAGTGTACTTAGCAGAGTCATCTGAAAACTTCTTCAGACCTTGATTGACTTTTTGAGGTCACTGAGAAAAAAGGACACATAAACACAGTGCCAAATTTGTCATTAACTCACTATAAGGGTTACTGTCCCTAAGGGGCTTTAACAAAATTGGTTTAGGATAAATATAGTCCAGCAGAGACTTTGATTATGGCTGGCTTAGAAGCCTAACCCTTAGGATCCAAAGGGAAACTAGGGGGAGCTTCAGGCTCAGTAATAGTGCATAAGGCTTTGATTAAAATTGCCTTGAAAACTTTACCTCAGGATCCAAAGGGCAAGGGAGGGAAGCCTCAGACAAAGTGAAAGTGAATGTATCTGATTGCGCCTGTTGAGTGGCCATGAGTTTTGATTTTCTTACAATTTACATTTTAAGCACAAGTAAAGATAATTTCATGGTGCAAAGACAGTCTAAACACAAGATAATTTTGACTATTTCTCCTTTCTTTTACAGCACAATTCTAGTTGTAAAATAGTATCATAATACTTCTCTCCTGAATTTTAGTTTGCCTCCATGGGCAAGGCACGCCATGCATGGGTGCAGAAAAATATTAAACAGCTCTTTCTCAGTATGTGAGGATCAAATAATTTCCAGTGCTTAACAACACATCCTGAAGGAATGAGAGACTTGACAATGAGTGCCTCATCTGCAGCACAAGAAGAAATCTAAGTCTGATTTGGTTTCTATATTCTTCAAGTCATCTCCCAAGGTGACCTGCTCCAGAGCAGGTGGCTCTTATCTGGAGAGTGACCAAAAGATAGGTAAGGTCACCTTTACCGACCCACACTCCTATCTTTTCCAAAAAAATCACACTCTTAACTCCAGCATAACTCCAAAAGCACAAGCTACAACTGACAGTACTGTTTAAAGAATGAAGCATTGCTAGCAAAGTCAATAATCAAGGAATGTGAAAGACTTCTAATTCTTTGAAAGGAAAATAATCAAAAGGCAAATTGTAAGTGGCTGGAACACTTCCCATTCTGCAGAAGAGACCACGTCTAGAAATAGGTAAGAGCCAAGTAATGGGTAAGAAAAAAACCTGCCCTAAGCAATAATGTCTCTAAGACATTTTTACTCACTACCTAATCACTTAGGCAATCTCTCTTAGCAGGAACACAAGGCTGAATTTCACTCAAATTCCACTTTTAATATTTCCGTGTCATTTTATATAACACAGTGATGAGGCTCACAAGTTAAAACTTATACACATCATTCAGCAACTATAATTTATTAGCAGAAGTATTTCCTACCCTATACATATAAATGATGAGAAATATACAAGACAGGAGAAAGAGAGCCAGTTGTTTTAGGAATGTGTTTTGGACCCTTACATATTATTCTTGGGAAATAGCTCCTTCTGATCTCACCCAGAAGTCAGTTCTTTGTGTGGGGTCTCAGGTTCAGTCTACCAAGGGAGATTGTTGCCCAGAACACTAAGCTGGAATAAGGCTTTCAGGTATGTCCTCCTGAAAAAGCAAAATTCCAGTGTTTCATCACATTCAGAAACAGGATATGTGTACCTCATCTAAGGTGACTTCCCTGTCTTCAGCATTGCAAACACTCATTTTCTATAGGGTCAACCTAAAGTTCTTAGTTGCTGGATAGGAGGGAAATGTTAGGGAAGTTCAAAGTTCTTTTCTCTCTAATTTCTCATGCCTCTAAAAAAGGACAGTTCAAAATGACAAGATAAAAAATGAGATGAAAAAAATGACACATTTTCTTCTCATGCTCATGATGAGTTGAGACAATGTGACCATGATTCATCACCTTCAGGCAGAAAAGTTGAGAAAGGATAATCTCCAAGGCTGATTGCCTCCTCACTAGTGGAAGATCAGACCAGCACAACAGGCTTGACATTTTCTCTAGCATACAGAGGGATACTGAGCCAAACTATCCTCCATGTCTTGAGAGCAGCTGCCAATCTATGGTCTTTACCAGTAGATGGAGTCCCTTAATTTATTGATAGGCATATATATTTCCCAAATATAAACTAGATTTCATAAAATGACCCATTTTACTGCATTTCATAATGAATTCCACTAGGGGATGCTCTAACATTACTTGTCCCTAGCACTGTTGTCTAACAAGTCAAACAGGTCAAGAAAGGAGCATCAATAAAATTAGCAACTAGGAAGTCCAAATGCTGCATGTATAAAACAGAAATACAAGACTTTGCCTGTAAAAGTAAAATGTCCCATCAAAGAAACATTATAATCTTCCTGTGTTCTCAGCTTAAATTTATCATTACTTTATCAAAGAAAAAAACCTGCATAAAAAAAGCATAAAATTCAACATAGGAGCAATTGGTTAAAAAGGATGACAACTTTTCATTACTTAAAAGGAGTCCATGGATTCATGAAACAAAAAGCATACTCTTATGACCTCCCCATTATCTTGGTGGAACCTCCAAATGATACAAGGAAAATATTACACCTCTCAACCTGTTAGACGTCAGATACGCTGTTTGTCTTCTTCAAAATCAAAGAATGGATTTTGAGGAACAATGGAGATTCAGAGTAAGAAAACCTTATTGGGAGAGATACCTCCTGAGAGACAAGAGGGGGCCTGAGTGGGTTGCTGCAGACTGCACTTTCCACAGGAAGTTTTACTGAGTAAAATCAAGAGGTGGGTACAAAAACATGAGGTAGGTAAATGTGGGACAAAACGATGATCAATCAATAAGATTATTAGTATAAATTCTGAGGTAATGTTGATCCAATGGGGAAGCAAGTTATGTAGCAAGTATATATAAAAAGAACAAGGTTTTGGGGCTGGGGATTTAGCTCAGCGGCATAAGTGCCTGCCTTGTAAGTGTGTGGTCGTGAGTTCGATCCCTGGTACTGGTAAAAACGAAAAAGACAAAAAAAAAAAGAACAAGTTTTTTTTTGGAAGAGATGAGTCAGGAGGTTCTGGTCACATATTTGGGTGACTGATGTCTATCTAAACTTTATTGGACTAGGTGATATCAATTATAGTATACTGCTTAACCCATGAGGAGGTATGTAGCCTTGGTCACTTTGTCTTTATCTTGAGGTCTGGCCTATAAGGGATGCACATCTAGCCAAAGCTGTAATGTATTCTCATTTTCTGCATTGACTCTCTCAGGAGCGTAGCTCTTGTCTATTTATATTTTCACCTAACTTGCTTGTGTATGTTACTATTAGCTTTCTTAATGAAAAGTTCCTGCCACAAAAAAATACTGTAAAGTAAGTAGTATCTCTCAGTTTTGCCA